AGGAAAGTTTTTTTTCTGTTAAGCCAAATTTTTTTTCCCAATGTCTTTCCATCAAAGGGCCTTGTGCTTTCTAGAGAAAACAGTCTCATCTTTTCCTACAAATGACTTTTCATTATTTTAAGGCATTCATGACCAACTCTCAATTCTGCTCTTCTCAAAGCTAAGCAGCATTGATTCTCTCTCAAAGGACACAATTTTAAGTCCCTTCGATTTCCTATTCATTCTTCATTTTCTCCATGTTTCTCTTAGAATGTAGATATAATACTCCCAGCGTGATACCCACTCCTATTAATTTTCAAAAGGAGTAAGATGAAACCAACTCTCTCAAATCACATAAGGTACTTTGTCAGCCACACAATGCAGTTTGTTCGTGTAAGATTTAAACTCTTTATATACAGCATTGTTCACATAAAACATGCCCACGCACGCATATAATGTGCATACCACTCATAGGAAACATACATAAGAGGGTTGGCTTGGTTTGAAAAAATCATGTGTTATCTGTGTAAAAACACAGTAACAATTTATTTCCTTAGCAATTTTAGGTTTTCTGCCTTGCTTTTCTAAATTAGAAATCAGATTTTCTTTTTCTTATACATATTCTAAGCTCCTTGAAAGTTCTGGAGGCTAGCAACATATTTTATGAAGACTAGGAGTCCTGGTGTGGCGCTGTGGACTAATGTGTCAGACTGCAAAGTCATTTGAACTGCAAGGTCGGTGGTTCAAGCTCACCAGTTGCTCCTTGGAAACCCTATACAGGGCCACTATGGGTCAGAATCAATTCAAGGCACTTAACAACAACAACAATTGACTGTTTAAATCTAGAGCAGCTATATTGGAAAGAAGGATCAGATATATCCATTCTGAAGAAGACAGTTCTCAAAGATTTCTGACCATGGTACTTTAAAAAGAACCAAAAACCTCACAATCCATGTAGCCTACCAGTGGGAAAGAACTCTGATATTAAGTATAAAGAAATACAATTAATAAATACAATTAAAAATGCAACCAGTCAGGCATACAGGAGGCATTAACATTAAGGTGCTTATTCTCCTTATTCTAAGCACTCATTTAATGGTGCTGATTCCAGTGAGGTGTCCTAAGAATTACACTCAGGAGCTCTGGTAGCATAGTGGTTATGAGTTGGGCTGTTAACCTCAAGGTCAGCAGTTTGAAACTACCAGCTGTTGTGTAGGAGAAAGATGAAGCTTTCTGCTCCCGTAAAGATTTACAGCCTTGGAAACCCTTTACAGGGTTGCTATGAGTTGGAATCGACTCCACGGCACATAACCACCACCACCAAGGGAGGAGGGCCAAGACTCAGCAATGGATAGTTCCTAGAGAGATAATTTACCCTAAAACAGAATGAGAACTGAAGGATGGACAGCACAGAGATGATGGGATTGATGTAGTGATGGTCTTTCTAACAGAAAGTTTAGACAACAATGGGGACACAGGGTATCAGCTCCCATAGAGATGTGGGAGGACTATCATCAGGAGAGCCACTGAAGAGGTTTTTTCCCAGATAGAGACGCTCAGGGTCTATTCATTCTACAGGAATCATTCGGTGGGGATCTGACAGGGATTTCATGTTTGGTTAAAGGTAGAAATAGTGTGCTAAAAACAGGAGAATGAAGCAGAAACCTCCATGTTGAACACAGAGACAAGCTCAAGGCCCTTTCCACATTGGGCTCCCAGAACACTTGTAGACAGGTTTACATTTCTAGGCAGGACAATACAAATTTATTTTTTGGCTTGAAGGTCCACGGTAAAAGAGTCTAGCCAATGACAACCCCCAGAAACATAGGAGGCCAGGAATTATTAGGCATTTGAGGAATGCTTTTAACAAAAAAGAAACCAAAACAAACGGACAAAAAAAGTACCTTAGAAGAACCAGACATAATATAAGAATTAAAAAATCAAAATTGAACCAAAGCTGCCAATAATATTCTAAGAATGTATGGCATCTATGAAATGAAAACAGGATCCAAAAGGAACACTTAGAGAACAAAAATATTTATTGGAATTGAACAATATGATATAGAATGGTAGGAAGATAAAATTGAGACAATACAAGGAGGCTTCAAAAAATTCATGGAAAAATTGCATTATTTTTCAGTTCTATTTTTCCACAAACTTTTTGAAATCCCTTCATATAAAGTAGAACAAAAAGACAAAGAGAAAGAAAATTGTGAGGAAAGGTATTAGAACAGTAGTCTAGAAGCTCATATAACTAAAAAGTGGAAGTTCCAGGAGGCGCAAATTAAAATAAACTGAAGGAAATTTTTATCAAAGTAATATAAGAAATTTCCCTGGATCTGATGGAAAAATCAAGGAGGCATACAACAACGTACCAAGGAGAAGTCCTGGTATGGCACTGTAGAATAAGCACTGAACTGTTAACCTCAAGGTCAATGGTTCAAACACACCAGCTGCTCCTTGGAAACCCTATACAGAGTAACTATGAGTCAGAACCATAGTTGGCACTTAACAACAACAACAAATCATGGAACATCAAGAAACATTAAGACATAACTACAGTGGTCCTATTTATACTATTCCTGTCCATGCTTTTATGTTTCAATTATACAAAATTTTTTGTAGTTCTTTTTTGCACGGTTAAAAGAATTATAAATGGTATTATGTTCTGCACATCTATTTGCAGCTTATTTTAAAACATTTTTTTGAGATTTATCCAAATGATACAATAGTTGATACAATAGTTAACATAAAAGAATGCCTGCAAAAGCTAACTACTGTTAACAAACAACTCCCTGAATCTGAATGGCTTAACCAAAAAAGGGTTTTTTCTTATTCATGTCACAGTCCACTTGAGGACTGGGGGCCAAGGCTGTGCTCTGGCTCCTACATGGAGACCCAAACTCCATTTGGTCTATGCTCTCCCTAGGGCCTATGAGTCTTATTAAAGATTATCTGGGAGGGCTGGAAACAGCCCTGGAAGAAAGCTACCTCATGTCTGCCTACATTCCATTGGCCAAAACCCAGTCAGACTCAGGTGATCCCATGTAACTGAAGGGAAGGCTGAGAACGCATCTAGCTCTGTACCCAGAAGGAAACATCACACAAGGTTTCATAAACATACACCTTATCCAATACAAGCATAAACACCTTCCAGGTAATATTAGTGTCATTTTCCTTGAGCTCCAGCAGTGCCCTTCACACACTAGGTGCTTAAGAAACAGTATCCAAGAAACAGCAACAGGCTGTACTTGCAAAGCAGGGGACAACGTTTAGTGGCAAAGTGATTCTCACAAATAGTAGCCATTGAACATTGAACTGACAAATCCTTAATGCCAAGGCTGATACCAAAATCTCACTACAACATTTTATGAGCTGAAAATGACAAGGCATCACATTTTCTGACCTCTCAAATAGCTCTTACAGTTTGTTGCTGTTAGGTGCCATCAAGTCAGTACTGACTCATAGCAACCCTAAGCATTATAGAATGAAACACTGCCTGGTCATGGGCTAACCTCACAATCATTGCTACAGCTGAGCCCATCGTTGCCGCCACTGTTCCAATATATCTCATTGGGGGGTCTACCTCTTTTTCGCCAACCCTCCACTTTACCAAACATGACATCCTTCTCCAGTGACTTGTCCCTCCTGATAATATGTCCGAAGTATGAAAGACGAAATCTGGCCATCCTGGCTTCCAAAGGAGTACCCTGGCTGTACTTCTTCCAACACAGATTTGTTTGTTCTTTTGGAAGTCCATGGTACTTTTATTATTCTCCTCCAACACTATAACTCAAACACATTAATTCTTCTGCAGTCTTCCTTATTCACTAGCCAACTTTCGCATGCATATAAGGTTAATGAAAATACCATGGCTTGGGTCGGGTGCACCTTAGTCCTCAAACTGACAGTTTTGCTCTTCAACACTTTAAAAAGGTCTTGTGCAGCAGATTTGCCTAATGCGATATGTGAATTGAGTGAAAGTTTACACGGCAGATCATCAATTTTACATTCAACAAATCATATAATTTGTTTCATTACAATGATTATAATCCCTTCCATGTACCATCAGTTACCAGTATTTCTCTCTATTCATTTTAGCTCTTTTTTAAAAATACTCCAGCATATATAATAATTTAAACCACCAAAGGGCACATTCTGCAAGTCTGCCTCCTGGCCACCAGTTTTCAGTCCCTCTCTTTCCATGAATCTAGAGTCCTCAGTTGTTTCCTCTCTCCATGTCCCCATCTCTGCCTCCATCTCTGGTGTCACTGTTTCTCCAGATAAGGCCTCACATTCCACTTGTGCTCTTCTCCCTTGATAGTCCTAAGGTCCCCTTCTCACTCTTACATGAGGGTATACTGGAAGTTTTCTAGAGGTTATATATGATTACAGCAGCTACGGAATCAGATATGAGAATCCAGATGTCTTCTATTAAAGAGATTTTAAAAACTCTAAAACAATGCCACTCTTTTGACTAGACACTTTCTACTTTGGAAAAATTATGAGATTATTATTGTTTTTAAATTAAAATATAATTTTAAATATTTTTTAATTTGTTTCTATTTCTAATACAAAAACTATTGCTGCCTATATAAACAAAAGCTCTTTGGGATCTTTTATTTTTAAGTGTAAAAGGGTTCTGACACCAAAAGCTTTAAAAAGGTTCATACACCATATTGCTTCAGCTAAAAACAAGCTGTTATTTCTCAGCGCATGTGACGTGGCCTCTCTGCCTCAGCTTTCCCATTATGTAAAATGAAATTAGCAGCAACACGTTCTTCCTGGATTGTGTGATTAAATACGGTAAGACTTACTAAACACTTACACAGTACCTGCCACATAGTGAGCACTTCGTAAGTAGTGGATGCCTATAGCACCAAGTCCAGAGTAACTAACTACATACAGCAGGTGTACAACCAATGTTTTCAGAATATTGAATGTATTTTCTACAGTGAATAATGGAAACATTAGTAATCCAAAAGCCAAGCAATACTGACAATAAGAGTGATTTAATATACCTGTCAGCCACATCCAGGTCAGATTCAATCTTGTCTAGTCCCTGCATGATGTGATCAAACTGCTCACCCTGATGATGGAGGACTTTTGCTGTATCTTCCAACCGTTTCTGGGAACATGCCATCAACCCAGTCAGTTCTTTCCCCTTGGTCATGGGGGAGGACGATGCCTGAACAGTAGCTCCTGGCTGAGACAACAGTAGCTCTCTCCAGAAATGTTCGATGATACTGAAAACGGCATTCCGACTAGGTTGTAGGGAGCTAAACCAGTGCTTAATACGATCCTTTTCCAGGATGGTGATGGAACTGAAGATGAAATGGGAAGACTCTTTCTTGATCTCAACTATACTAGAAAGGGGAAAATTGACAAGAATTTTGCCAGTTTTATCAGTAATAAATTTTAGTGACAGAGAAGTTAATAAAAGTTTTCCAGAGAGCCATCGTTTCTCAGGTTCTAAATAGTAGGAGCATGGCCAGGTGTGGATACAGAAGTCTCTGCTCATCTGTCTGCTAGATTGGGTTGCCACCAAGGTCACAGATTCTGCATCTAAAAGAGAGGATACAAAATAATGAGTAGGTGAGGCTGAAGCTGTAACAAGCACACTTAGAATTAAAGACACTAAGAAATGAACAAATGAGGTATTTCTGTGGTTAGAGATTGAATTATGTCCCCACAAAATATGCTGCAAATATTAACTGCTATGCCTGTGGTTATAATCACGTTCAGGAATGGATTGTCTTAGTTATATTAATGAAGAAGGATTAGTATAGGGTGTATCTTGCGTCAATTTCTTTTGAGAGGTTAGTATAAAACATATTAGGCAAAGGAGCAGAGGAGAGATAGCAAACATAGATGTAAAGACAAATGGTGCATGCCAAGGAACCAGGAAGCAGAAACTTAAGAGATGAGGACCTTCCTCTAAAGTCAACAGAGAAAATCTTCCCCAATTTAGGGAGAGACCAATAGTTGCACCTTAGATGGTCATTCACAAAGACCTCAGTTACTACTCATCAAAGTAGCATACTTCATAGATACATACCTACTATCATCAAGTCAAATCCAACTCATAGCAACCCTAAAGAACAGATTATAACTGTCCCCACAGACGTCAATGTCATAATCTTTACAGAAGCAGACTGTCATACGTTACTTCTGCAAAGCTGCTGGTGGGTTCAAACCACAGACGTTTTCCGGTTAAGAGCCAAATGCTTTAATCGCTATGTCACTAGGGCTCTTTGTTAAAGCCATACTCCCATCAAATACAAAAACTGAAAATGGATCAAAGACTTAAATTTATGGCTTAAAACCACAAAATTCTTAAACGTAAAACAAGGAACAGCTTACTCTTCAAAAATGAGTTCTTAGATATGACACCAAAAGCACAAGCAACAAAAGGCAAAAGAGATAAACAGGATCTCATCAAAATGAAAAATGTCTGTACCTCAAATGATTTTATCAGCAAAGTGAAGAGACAACCTATAGAATGTGAGAACTTGGGGGCAATTATATATCAGATGTTAAGTACCATAGAGTAGGTTCCAACTCATAAAGACTCTGCACATGGTTTCTGAGGCTGTAAATCTTTATGGGAGCAGAAAGCCTCATCTTTGTCCCACGGAACCGCTGGTAGTTTTGAACTGCTGATCTTGAGGTTGGCAGCCTGACTTGTAATCACTACGCTACGAGAGCTCCTTATATCAGACAGGAGTCTAGAATAAGCACCGGACTGCTGACTGCAAGGTTGGCAGTTCAGATCCAACAGTCACTTATTTGAAACCCTACACAGGGTTGATATGAGTCAGAACTGACTATACAGCATTTAATAACAATATGTCAGATAAAGGCTCAATATCAAAATATCTTTAAAAAAAAACAAAAAAAACCATATAACTAACAAGAAAAAGATAAACAATCCATTTAAAAAATGGGCAAAGGAGATGTTTCCACAGCAGAGAAGACTTTAAGAACTGTTTAACCCTTAGAGAACTGATTAAACTCCAGAGACTTTCTGCCGTTTTGCTTGTCGGGCGTAGGGAATGGGGAATTAACAGATGTTACAGACTTTGCAATCGTTCATCAACCATCGTATGTTTTATTGCCTGTTAACATTCTCAGAAGCTAGGCAAATCATTGCGGTGCCTGGCCCTTAAACATGCCTTAATCCTCG